ATGGATGTAGAACAACGCCTTCTGATCTTTCTTCCTCAACGCCTTCTGTGCTACCTTCTGTGCCTCTGTTGAGTCTACTTCTAACAGATTATAGTCATCAGTGACAAGATCTAACACATCTTGAGAACCAAATAATACACGCATCTGGATCTTCCAACGATTCCAGTTTTTTCCATCAAATACTGGAAGCTTGGAATGAATATCACCGTCGTTCCCGTTCATCTTCTACCTTTGAGCAATTTACGCAGAGTTTCCCAAATCAATGTTCCTAAAAAAACCCATAATCAGAACATTGTAATTCTTAATCACAATACTTCTTTTCCCCGTGGATTTCGAACCAGAGCTCTGGATACCAATTGTTGGTGCACAAAGAAGAGATGAAAGGCAAAAGTAATATTTACTGATAGCTTCAAAATAAGGGTTTACAATGAATTACAATAACCTACTCCACTAGGCTATTTATACACAAAATTAAATCTAAAATATATCTTCTAACAAAGATATAAGAAGATCTAAGATATATATCTTCTAACAAAGATATAAACAATCTAAAACATATTCCTAAATATAAATTAATATCTAATTAATTATAAAATCTAAATTAATTCTTATAGTAATGAGTTCGGCGAATGGCGTATCCTGCGAGAACCTAAATCAAAGTGGAGACTGTGCACCACTGAAGTAGACAAAAGTAAGGTGTGAATATGCTTGTGTAATTTCTATTTGTGGTATGTAATGGATAAAGAAATGGAATGGAAGATCCAATTTATAGCCTTTTTAGAGCAATATGGACCAAAGAAATCATATCATGACATTTCGGAAGTGCACTTCCGAATTCCCCTTATTTTTATCAAAAATAAGGGTTTTCTGACATGCACATCCGAAGACACCATGAGTTTTAATAAAAAGAATAGGTGAATTCGGAAGTTCATATCCGAAATAAGTCTTGTGTTATTTTTTTTTATAAATTAAAGGTTAATTCGAAAATGCACTTCCGATTATGAAGAACCAAAACTCTGTTTCATTATTGTGTATAAAATTGCATGAAAAAATAAACAATTGTAACACTAAATATATAAAATATGTTATATATGTATTGAAATGTATATATTTTACAATGTGTACGATAATACATTTAAAAAATGGTTTGATTAAACATTCAAAAAATAGTTTGATTACATTCTAAAATGCACCGAACGAATTTTCACTGCTTAAACCTAAAACCGGTTCTTTCTTCGACTTCTCCTTATTTGATTCTCTCTCAAGCTCAATCAAATTGGTAAACTCTACCATCCTTTCCAAAAAGTGATTCGACCAAACTTTTGCCTCTTTTTTATGATGTGTCGTCCATTTCACGGATGTAGTCGGTATAAAATAACCCTGTTTCAAATAAACTCGAATAAAATGGTGTTATCTAAGGTACCCAATATACATGATGCGGTCAAATGGATCTTCGGGGGGGGGGGGGGGATTCCGAAGAGGAAAAAATGTTTCCGAAAACCCATACCTCGTCAAGTCGATACACACCTTGTCATATGCACTTGCTATAAGATGACTCATTTCAAGGAAGCTCATCCACTTAGCAACTGGTGCATGAACAGTAATACTTGGAGCAAGAGCATGGTGAACTTTATTAAGTTTCTTCGTAGTCACATATAGGCGAGTATAGAGTTTCACTATGCATTGTCAACTCTGAAATAAGTGTTTTGCACACAAGAGTGTGATTATCCTCTCCTTTACCAAGTAACTCGGACACGACCCAATACCCGCAATTACCATCACTCTCCATATTCATGATTCATTCAACGTGTTTGTGCATAAAAAGAGGCATCTCATCAATGTAGATAATCATTGGTGCTTGTAGTTATTTTATAATAGGCGTTGTACGAGGTGGTTTGGAAATGCGAGCTCCCTTGGTAACACTTGTTTTGGATTTTGGGGTTGGAGAATCTGGGAATATTGAATCAACAACTTCATGGTAAGAAGGAGTCTGCTTTGTTGAACCGTCACCCTGAGAACTTTTCGCTTTTTTAGGCGCACCTTTTGTTTTTACCGGTTGCGATGGAGGTTTCAAATTGGTGGTTTCCGGAAACGCGATTTTCCTCAAAAGTTCTTTGATGTGCAATTTCATAGAATTCAAGTTTGCTAGCTTCCATTCGAACTCATTCAATCATATGTTGACTAGAAGTGGAACTTTTATCATTTTGAAATTGTTGTGCATAATTCATTACAACATCCTTCATTTTATCAACGTCCTTCACCTCAATTGGCTTATCATCTTCATTGACCTTGTCCGAAACCTTTACGAGAGCTTTGACAATATTATCAGGGTGCACCATACCTAACATGTTAAAAAACATGAATTTTGGTTGGGAAACAAACATTTTTTCGAATATGCACATCCGAATTATGGTAAGTTGAACTCGGAAGTGCATATCTGAAGCGACGTTGTTTTCTTCTTCTACAAATCAGCTTCAATGCAGGAAATATGTAATAAAATAAGAGAAGTTTACTTCAAATTACAACTTTCTATACTCTCTTTGCTATACTCAAACACTTGAAACTTGATTTGGAGAAAAAAATCCATTGAAAATGATTGAAGGTTTACGAGGGTTTTATTTATGGAAGAATAGAAAATGAATAAAATAGTTAAAATAGGTGACCATGCAGCATTCTAATATGGAAAGATAGTTTCAGAGATGCACATCTAAAATCACCTATTAGCATGTTTCGCATGTGCATATCCGAAACTACCTCAAAAATTTTAAATCCAACGTTGTTATAAAACATGGAAAAAGGGTGTCTTCGAAGATGCACATCCGAAATTATGCTGATAGGTGCGTTCGGATGTGTATCTCCGAAGAGTATTTTCGATTTTTCAAAAATAATTTTCACCACTACTAAGTATAAAGAGAAATCCTCTTTTTTAAGGACTTCCTCTAAAAAAAAGTATTGGATTGTAGTTTTCTTTTTTAAGGACTTCCTCTGATTTATCTTTCGACTTAGACCCTCTTAAATAAAAATAAAAATAAAAACATACAACACTGTTCATATGGATTAAAAATGCTAATGAAAAATCAAAGAAAAATCAATCTATCAAAAATATTTGAATAAGAATAAAAATTAAAATTTAAAATATTTATCGAGACAAATAACTTATTAGTCTTTAATTAAATATATGTCATATAATAAGGTATATGTCTACTAATATTTAAGTTATTTTAAGCTTGAGTCTAATTCTTTAAAGAAGTTCTGTATATTGTCTTATGGGATATTTTCAATAGTTTTTATTTGTATTTTTATAATATAAAAAAATATTAAATATGTAAATTATGATAGTTTTGATTTGGTGTAACTTGTGAATTAAATTATTCATTTTTAAAGTTGGAAATGTATCTAATTGTAATATTTAATATTGAATTGAAACAACTAGTCTAAAAAACATTGAGTTGAAATACATAGTTATTTTAGGAATTTTAAACATGAGTTGAAATACATAGTTATTTTAGGAGTTTTAAACATGAGTTGAAATACATAGTTATTTTAGGAGTTTTAAAACAGATAACTGTACAGGTATACATTTATTTATATATCTATATAAATTGGAGCAGACTTTTTTTTTGAGAGTAAATGTCTAAAACCTTATCCAACACTTAAAAAATGTGTGTGAAATGGGGTGAATATGTGAATATTGTATCTTTTAAATTTAAAAATTATAAAATTTTATGTTAATGTTTACGCCCGTAAAAATATTGAGCAGACATATTAGAAGATGCAAACATAAAATATTGGTATATTCTGCACACACAAAAATGCAGAAAAAACAAACATATTTGACAGGTCAGAACCATTTTACCACTCATATTCATAACAAACTCTCTCTCTCTTCTCTCTTGTCTCTTATCGATCTATAATGCATTTCTCTGTTTGTATTCCGATTAGCGTTAGTGGTTTTGCAGTTCAATTTTTGAACACCCCCTAACCATTACCCTTCCTTAAATAAACGTTGATGAAAGTGATTACTTCATTGAACTTTTTCAAAAGAATCTTAGCTCTCATGATTGTATCCTCAATGTATACAATGCTGGCATTTGTGTTCAATGTATACAATGCTGGCATTTGTGTTCTTTTAAGGATGTTAAATTCTATATGCAGGTTGATAAGTGTCATGGTGTCTGGTGCGATCCATTTTTTTATATTTCGGCGACGTGTGTGATTTGGAAATTTCTAGTGCAAGTTGTTTGTGGTTAGAAGTGATTTCCCTGTAAATTTGAATATGAAAAACATAACTCCCAAACACACCTTTAGGAGATGCGTTATATATGGCAGCTATTGAGTTAGTACGTTACATGAAGGACTAAACATCCCTGCTATGTATGACAAAGCTTCAAGCCAGGTTATCAATTTGCAAAAACCATAAATCTATTGCACCAATTTGCGAAACCATAATAGTTGGGGTAACCTTTTATGATCTTTAGAAGAAAAAATCAATTTTCAAGTTTATCAGAACTCAAATAAAGATTAATTTGTGGAGCCGCAAGTGTCTTTCGCACTAAAAGAGATAAATATTTTCCTCTACCAACTTTCTTAAGTGATATGACACAGCCGTAAACCAAATGGTTTGCCGCAACAGACTCAATCTCTTCACATTTTGTTAAACAAGCTACCTCTAACTTAAAAAAAGGTCAATTGTTAATTTATACTAACATCCAAGCATTATTATAAAAATATAGTTATAGCATAAGGAAGGGTAGAGCAAATCCTGAAATAGTCACCACATGAATTAAAAGAAAACATTACAGACTCACGGTGTTCTACCTTTTATGATACATATCATAATTTGATGGTAACATAGAAGTACATCCTAAATCTCCAAATGAACACATAAAGCAATTCTCAACATCAAAACCACTATAAAGAATGCGCTGCCAAACAAAACCACTCTAAGGTGAATAGCCCATTCTTACATGTTTGGTGAAAAGAAGCAGGTGAATTTAAGTTTAATCTTTCCACATATCTGCGAACTCATCAGGCTCCAGAGGATTCGCCATCTCATGCCTTTTCCTCCTTGTCTTTGCTTTCACCTTCTTTGCAAACGTTCCAGCCTTTTTCTTCTTCTGCAAAGCTCGAATCTACACCAACCGACATAAAAGTTGGTAGTTATTTTCAGTACAAAACTAGAGATACTAAGAGTGTAAATTGAGAGCATGTTGGTTTGTACTTGGTTTGGCGACACATAGAATGGATTCTCATATAGAGTCGGACCTCCAAAACTGCCACCAAATATTTTAATTGGGTTCAAGCAGAACCGTGGACCAACCTAAGCAAATATTTACACAAATAGGTTAAGGGAAATTTTAGGAATTGACAAATCAAAATGTAAATCGATAAGCAAGTTTGCAGACCTCAATTAATGTCATTTTATCAAGGCCTCCTCGAGGTAATTTGTCAGACTCATTATGAGGAACAGAGATCTGCATGGGAATAAAGATGTGGTTAATTATTTAAAATTGCTCAACAAAACATCATGAAGCAAAATGAGACAGGCATTGCAAAGCCATGTTCGTAAAAATGCAAGTATAGTAGCAGAAAATGATATTACTATCCTGTTTAATTTATCAAGAAGCCTCTAAACAGTATGCTAATTATTTATATCTTGTACAAATGGAAGCACAAACCTGATAATTTCGGAACCAAATGTGGTCGTCAACTATTGAGAAAACAAAAACATGGTCGTGGAAAGGCTTAGCCTTTCTATGGTCCTTTGGTGTTTCAAATATCTGAATGAAGCAAAGAAAGATTGTGTCAGCAATATTCAAAATTGAGTATACTTCTATTATTCTAATAACCAAGTAATCACTGACCCCTACTCATACATATCTCAAGTACAAGAACCAAAATAAGAGAAAATTGTGTACAGAAGCATTTGATTTGTCCACATTCTACACTATTTGAACTGTGACTAGAGCCAAACTTAATAATAATATAGTTTATCAGGTAAAAAGTTTAGAGCTTAGGAAACTCATAAGATATATAACATAACAGCTGCTCTGAAAGATCACATAAACATCAGAAAAGCGCAATTAAACTAGTTTGAACCACACCAGCAATTCATTTCATACAGCACAAAGCACCAAACTAAGATTATATAATTGAAATAACTGTAGTTTTTTAATCCAAAACAGTACATAGAAGAGTGATGAACTGAATACCTGTAACAACATCTCCTTCAGCAGTTTCCAGTGTGCATCTTTTTCAAAATTTGATGAAAATGTCAAAAGAGGGCGGGAACCTTTTAGGTGATTCCCAGTCAGCTTCAATTCCTCCATTGTGTGCACTGGAAAATAGTGATGGTAAAAGAAAAACTAGTAAAATGGCCTTAGAAAAGAATTAATCCTAATTCAAAAGGAAGAATGAAAAACTAAATACTGATACTAATACTATATAATCATATCAGCAAAATTGGCTTCTATAGTAACCTGAAGTTAACAGTCAGATGAGAATATTACCAGCACTAACTAAAAATTTAACAGATGGGCCATTCGGGCATTTTGACATCCAGAGATAAAGATCTTTTGCCTTCCTGCACTGAAATTCATATATACAGAATGGGAAAGTAAGACAGTTATCCGAATCACACTAGTTGATTAGACTTGGCCGATATTAAGAACTGGATCTCAAACTCAAAGATTAAGTAGAAAATGGTGCTCCAACAATCCGATTTCAAATTGAACAAACTGCTTAAATACAGAATAAAAGGCAATTTGAGAAAGAAATTGAAGGAGAGCAGGTATGCTATACATTAAAAGTTAATATGGTTAAACCAAAATCCATAAAATATAAAAGAATCAAATGTACAACTAATCTCAAACAGAAAAGAGATGCTGTGTGTTTGAAACTACCCATCAACAATGCATTGCATCTATCTAAATAACAACATTTACAACTAAAATAACTTATTTCCTTACACCACACATATGCAGTGAGTTTTCTAACTCAACAGCAGCAGCATAGCTCATAACACAATCCACAGTCAGCATTAAAAAACCCAATAGCCTAAAAAAATCAAAAAGAATACCTCGAAAAATAAACAAGACGAACAGTTTTTGAGTTCAACAAGCTCGTTCAATGTGGCGCCTTTAGTTTCTTTTGATTCAACCTTGTTATCCTTCTTGCAATGAGGCAGAAGTGATACAATGTTCAACATTAAATGTCGGTACCTATAATAAGTTAATGAAAAACACTCCACCTCATCAATAAACCATAATCAAGATCTAACCCACAATAAAGACAAAATGTTCATTATGCTTAATTCCTAGTGTTGTCAACTAGAAATCGCAAAAACTCGCAGTTTAATCAAATGTCCCAAGAAACATTACTACAGCCCAGAGAAATATGAACGGCAATTAAAAATCAATGAAAATCATATAAACTAATGCAAAGTAGTAAACAACTCTCCCGTGACACCTTTAAATTTTGAGGTTAATTTAAATCTAATTCGCAAAATTAAACAGAACTATAACAAAGATATTACTAACACTCGAAGGATCAAACAAATGTAAGAAAGAATCTTAAAGGAATTATCATCAAAAAGAATGAAATTAATTTGTAAGGAACCAAAAAGATAGGACAACATATTGAAAAAACAACTGATAAGATAAGAATTCAAGATAGAATGCGAAACAATTAGAAAATAGCGATAAACAAGTATTATCCCTCAACATTACCCCCATGAATGAATAGAATAAAAATCCATGAGTTATGAAGAAATGGAGGAAATAAATTGATTTAGTCAAATTCCGACATAAACTTGGAACATGAGATCCAATTTGCTTTGTAGATGACCAAACTATATGATAAAGTACAATTGAAATATTTGAAATAGAAAATGTAACCCTTAATGTAATCTCATGAATACAAAAGGACTTCATGAGTATTAATAACATTTAGATGAAGTAAAATGATTTAGTCATCTTCCGACACAAACATGGCACAGAGAAGCCGATCTGCTTTATAGATGACCAAAAACAACAAAAACAACTAAGCCTTATCCCACTAGGTGGGGTCGGCTACATGGATCATTTGTCGCCATAATGAATAGAATAAAAATCCATGAGTTATGAAGAAATGGAGGAAATAAATTGATTTAGTCAAATTCCGACACAAACTTGGAACATGAGATCCAATTTGCTTTGTAGATGACCAAACTATATGATAAAGTACAACTGAAATATTTGAAATAGAAAATGTAACCCTTAATGTAATCTCATGAATACAAAAGGACTTCATGAGTATTAATAACATTTAGATGAAGTAAAATGATTTAGTCATCTTCCGACACAAAAATGGCACAGAGAAGCCGATCTGCTTTATAGATGACCAAAAACAACAACAACAACTAAGCCTTATCCCACTAGGTGGGGTCGGCTACATGGATCAACTGTCGTCATAATGAATAGAATAAAAATCCATGAGTTATGAAGAAATGGAGGAAATAAATTGATTTAGTCAAATTCCGACACAAACTTGGAACATGAGATCCAATTTGCTTAGTAGATGACCAAACTATATGATAAAGTACAATTGAAATATTTGAAATAGAAAATGTAACCCTTAATGTAATCTCATGAATACAAAAGGATTTCATGAGTATTAATAACATTTAGATGAAGTAAAATGATTTAGTCATCTTCCGACACAAACATGGCACAGAGAAGCCAATCTGCTTTTATAGATGACCAAAAACAACAACAACAACTAAGCTTTATCCCACTAGGTGGGGTCGGCTACATGGATCAACTGTCGCCATAATGTTCTATCATTGAAGTATATGAACATATGAACATAATAAGAATGAACATAATAAAGAGATGGCGGCTAATAGTTAGAAAGTATGCATCAATCTAATGAAATGTGCAGCAGAGTTTTCATTGGAGTGATTTAGGGTTGTAAAAAGCGTCTTTTTTCGATAAAATTGAAACAATTTGATACTTATAGTCTTATAAACGAATCCAAACTCAAAACAAGCACAAAATCATTCAATACAAAAACATATAGTAATTGTGCTTTGAAGTTTATACCTGAAAACAATACGCCTAGAGCAAGTGACCAAAACTTTCTCTTTGTTCCTAAATATAGGTGAAGAACCATTATCCTTGACCTCAACTTCTTTGTCATTTTCATCCTCATTCTTATTCTTCCATCCCAAAAGAGTCCTAACTGGTCTCTCTGGAGCAACATCATCCTTTTTGGGAACCGCCGCAGCTCCAGCCTTCTCGCTGCGCTTTCTCTTCTTCCCCATAGTTTTTGGCTACAAATCTGCCACAAAAGAGGAATCCCATAAAACATAACATCTTTACAAAATATACAATCAAAATCAATAGCAGCAGAAAGACCAATGCGATTTCGATTTCAAACAAACAAAGTAAAAACAGAAAAAAGAGGTGCTAAAGCAGCTATGAAACACTGAACAATATGAACAATATGAAACACCAATTAATCGTAAAAGCTCACTGATTATGAGGCCGGTCAAAAACTCCGGCTAGCTTTTGTTTTCCGTCGAGTTCAGCGACTTGATGGAGCTGCTGAGTTTATGCGGCGTCACTGTTGAAAACGGAAGAGGCGAAAGTGCTGAGTTTTGTGTTGGTTTAGGGTTTTATTTATTTATAAAAATCGTTAAAATAAAAATGTTTTTTTTTTTTAAATGCCTCTTTACACCTAAGGTTATGTATAACGGAGAATTTTTTTTTAATAGTTTAATTCTTATAATTATGGGTGTTTGCGGTTTGGTCTGAATATGTTTTAAGATAAAAAATTATTTGATTTAAAGATAAATTTATTTATGATTCGATTCGATTTTAGATGATATTTTAAAAAAATTCAATCTGATCTAATCTAATTTTATGCGATTTAATTTGAATCGATTTTTGGATATCCAAATTACACATTATATTTGTATTAATATTATAAAACTACTAATAAATCATAGATTTGATATAATATATAACATATAGTATATTAAAAGTTAATATTACAAAATGAGAGTGGTTGGTTATGATTGAAATAATAAAAATAAATAAATTATATCAAACTAATAACTATTATTAAAAAAATTATTATCATCTAATAATAAATTCACGTAACGTATCATACTAATAAAAAGTAAATAAATATAAAAATATATGTATGCGATTTGATTTGATTTGGATCGGTTTTGAAAAATTGATTCGAAATCCGATTCGAATCGATCGATTTTCACAAAATGACATTCAACACGTCTAATAAATTTCAGTTTTTTGCAATTTTCGGTTTATTGGATCGATTTTCGATTTTTCATTTGGATTGGTTTGGATTTGAGCACCCCTACTTACAACGGGATGTTAAATGGAGTGTTGTAAGTGAGACGGATTAATTGGTGTTGAAAACATTGAACATATTGAATAAGGAAAGAGTGGGACTACTTCAAATACTTGGCAAATTCTTAATGATTGTCCTAAATATTTAAATTTTATATTTCATCCTAATTATTTAGAGTCAATTATTTGATAATAAATTAATTTTTTATTTATTTTTATTTTAACCAAAATTTATTATTTTTTTATCTATAAATAGATACTTGGTTCATTTGATTTGGACATAGAAAAAAAATCTATTTTTTCTCTTTAATTTTTTTATTTAACTTCCAATAAACTCTTATTTATAGCTCTAAACATTTTTTAGTGAATATAAAATTAGAAAAAAAAATCAAATAAATTATTAAATTAGAAAAAAGTTAAAATAAATTATTTAACTCTTAATTATTTTAATTTAATATTAATATATAATCATAAAAACAAAAATATAAAAGAAAATAAAAATATGAAATAAAAGTAATAGAATATGGTGTTGAATTTTATTAAACAAAATCATTGTAGTGATTAAAAGTTGAATGAGTGTTGAATTATTAGGTGGAAGAGAGAGAAAATGGTGTGAAGTATAAAAAATGAAAAGGAAAGTGTTGAATAATGAAATCATTATACATATGTGTTGTACCCCAAAATTTGTCATCTCGTTTATCAAGACTTTTCTCACAAGACTTCTTTAACTCAAGACAAGATTAGGGTTTAGTCAGCTCAAGACATCTCATCTTGCATTGATAACCCAAAATTAGGGTTTGAGTTTGCACAAGGATTTTTGGACCACCAATGCTTCATGTGACTTTCATACACCATTTTTGACCCCTAATATTGCTCATGTTAAGTTTCAAGCCTTGAACCACATTTTTGATCAATCAATTGGACAGTTGACCTAAAAGTCAACTGTATTGGGAAAAAAGTCAACCATGGCCAATTTACAGTCAAACTTCATAATTTTTATCCATATCAATATTTTAGACTCATATGTACCATTTTATCAAGTTTGGATTACAACTCCTCAAGAAATTTGATCAAATCATCAAAAGGGCAAAATGGTCAAAATTAAGGTTTTTGACTGACGAAGGGCAATTTTTGATTTTTAACCTAGCAAATGACCAATTGAGTTCAATCATGATTTCAAGGATTCAATAGAATCATCTTGACTTAATTATATGGTTCAAAAGATCTCAAGTTCATTGGATTGACAGATGAAATTTGCAGTCAACCGATCAAAAGTCAATTGTATACTGAAAAGTCAAACTTTGACTTTTTGGTCAAAATCAAGTACCAAGAGTCAAAATTCATCAAGATATATCAAAATGTGAAACTTGTTCATCAAGAAAACTAAATTTGAAAATTAGGGTTTGAATTTGAAAATTTTCATAACTTAGAAATTTTCTAAGTATAAAATTTTCTTATTTTTTCTCAACTTTTCACCACTTTTACACCATGATGAATTTTGATTCAAGGAAAGTTCCCAACATGAAAGTTGTAGATCTCCATGAAATCTACAACTTTACTTCACAAACTTTTCCCTAAAGATGCTTGGATCTCAAGATATAAATTTGTGAATACATGGTCATGAACTTCTTAACTTAGTGAAATTTTGCCCTAATTTAGGCAGGTTTTGGACCCAACTTCATGGAAATTTTTCACCTAGTTCCAAGAGGTATCTAAAAATTCATTTCAAAGATGGATTATAGAGCACATTTCAAGATTTCCAAAATGTCCAAGAACTCTCCAAGATCATTTTTGAGTAGGGAGAATCGAAGAGAGGAAGTTGGCATTTTCTCACTTTTGTTCAAGCCATTTTCATGAAGAACCAAGTTGCAAACCAAACCTATGCTGGCTATTTCATGCTTTACAGGTCCTAAACTTGCTACACACTCCTTAATTAAATTCTTACAGAGTTGACAAAGCCTTTATCCATGCTTTTGAACTTTTACACAACTTGTAATTCCATTTTGGGCAAAAAGGCTCCATTGCCATTTTCATAAAGAAACACTTTTGCAAACTTGTCAACTTGGAGCTTTGAACCTGTCCCCTTGATGCATACAAACCACACAGGTCTCAAGCAACTTGTACAAACTCATATCAACCCTAAAGCAAGCTGGTACAAGCATGAGAATTTTGTCTTGTCACTTTACTTCAAGTACAAGAAAAGTTGCAAAAGGGCTAGGGCTTATACAGCTGATAGAGAGCTGACTTTAGATTATTTCTATACTAATATGCAAACAATGTACAACACATAAGACGCTTGGCAAGGACATGAAACCCTCTCAAACTGAAAAAACACCAAAAAATTGCCCAAACATACAGTTTCTGCACAAACACATCTAACTCTCATTTGGCTCGTGCGTTTTGTGTTTAGAGCATTCAAACACATTACATACTTGATATCAAACTCATCCAAGCCATCATCCCTGTTTTGTAACCTCTGTTTCACCATCTGCCATTGTTAACTTTGAAGCTTGTAGTTGGACTTGGTCAGGGAGTTCTAGCCACTTTCAGAGCAAGGTAAGAGTTGGAATAGATTCAGGGAAGCTCAAGGAAGCTCAAGCAATCATCAGGCCTCCATTAAAGTCCCTGCATTTCCATACACGATTCCAGCTGAAGGAGGTAATTTTTCAAACTCTATCTCTTTGTACAGGCAACCTCAGGCCACGATCTATGAATGAAAAATGTAGTTCTCATCATAACGAAGTTGTACATATCATTATCTTGCATTTATATTACTTGTGCTAAGAGAATTTGGAGTTTGAAATCTCTGAAAATTTTAGGTCACGATTTAGGGATTTCAAAATTCTCTTTGATCTTTGATAGTTAGATTACATAATTTATATGGTTGGAATCGTGAGTTCAAATGCTACATTTTTCATGTTATAAGTTTTCATTTTTATGCAAGCATGAGGAAGTTACAGGTTGACCGGCCATGACGTGAGGAAGGAGAAGGCAGGACAGGGATGAAGTTGTCTTGGGCTTTTTTGGCTTCCTGGGCTCGTTTTTGCTAGCATCATCACCACTGTTTTGTTTTTTCACCCCCCTTGCTAACTCTTTCATATTTTTATATTTTTTTTTCATTTTTTATATTTAATACTTTTATTTATTTTCTTTAATGATAAAAAATCCTAAAAATGATTTAATTATTTTTACACCTTTATTTTATTTTTTTATTATTTCTCACATAAAAAATTAATTTATTTTGATAGAATATAATTTATTTTCTTAATAAACTCATAAATATAATTAAATATACTTAATATTTTTTATTTTACATTTCATACTGACAAATACCTATTTTTTGCATATATTTATTTTTTTAATATGTATATACAATATCATTTATTATTTTTATACAAAAAAATGCACAAAATAATAATATAGAAACATTATTTTCTTTTAAATGAAAATTAGGGTTTAATCCCTTTCAAAAGAATTAAATATTTTTCCTTATATTTTTTAGGTTTAAATTCAATATTCTTTTATACAAAAGCAAGACATAAAACATCTTTTCTTTACATACATATTGCATTACATTTAAATATTGTATTATATTTATTTTAATTCGCGCAAATTCAATTTGGTTGTAATAATGTATTTAGTTTTATATTTGTGCAAATCCCCATTCAAACTTGTATTCCCCCCTCCCATAAAATTGTTGTAATAACTTAGTATATTTACATTACGCAATTTATTGCTTTCATATGTCATGATTAATAATTAGGGTTTGTATGACAAGAACGAAACAAAACAAATAGAAAACCCTAAATGCAAGATCAAAAGTATGAAAATGATATACTTTGCACACAAGCACCCTTAGGGTTTCTCCCACTTGGTTGCCTAAAATAAAATGGCCATGTTACGCATGCAAAGTATCTTGGCAAAACAAAACAAATTTAAGATCATA